TTAATAAGTTTTGTAAATTACTATGTTCGATCCAGCCAGTTATATCCGAGTTTTTTTCGTCTGTTTAGCACATCCTTTGAGGATTTCCTTACCGTGTATACCAGCCTTTAGATATCAAAAATTTAATGTAAGATATTGAATAAAATTCACAGTTCTGAACATCAAACCAAAAAAATGTATTATTGTATTTCAATCTATATATATATGTAATTGAGATGGGTTGATAATGATAATTGCAAAGCCCAAACAGTTAGGAGTTGAAAGTTGAAATTTGGTACACGGTACATCATGAGAATGCACACTAAGGAATTTTCCGAATTTTCCCTCTGCAGATGACAGGGAGAGGGTTAAGGCTTAACCTGAAGAGCTTGACTTCTATTGTACTATTTTAGATGAGATTTTTTTCTGTTTTTAACTGTGTTTTAGTAGGGTACACCACACGAATACACACTAATAAGAAATTTTTGGAATCCCCTGCGGGGAGAGGAAGAGGGTTAAAGATTACCTTGAAGAACTCTGCTTCTACTGTACTATTTTAGATGTGGTTTTTTGTGTTTCTAATTGCATTAAAATGNCTAAGCATAACAATAAATCTTTTAAAAATAGCCATTTAAATTAAAATCTACATTAATTATTTTTAAGAAATAAAAAGTACACTGTTTACAGAGATTTTCAATTTAGTGAAAATTGGTTAACTTTTGGTAATTGTAAAGTGGCATCTTTCGAATGGGCACAAAAGTTAGCACAAATTTTGGTATTATTTGAACTTGTAGGATGTTTCCTAGAATAAGTGTGCAAAGAACAAGAGTGATTCCAAAACATTGAACGTACCCTACTCGATAAAGTATGTAAACCGATTTTAGCTTTTCTTAGAATTAAATAAATAAAATTTAAATGTTGCACGGTGTTTTTAAATCTTGCTTACTGACGTCTCCTGCCGCACCGAGAGATTTGTGTGGGATACGCTTACATATAACAACTTTTATTCTTTCCCCTCATTAGATATCAAAGATTTAATTTAAAAATAAGTTAAGATATTGAATAAAATTCACAGTTCTGAACATCAAACCAAAAAAATGTATTATTGTATTTCAATCTATATATATATATATATATATATATATGTAATTGCAAAGCCCAAACAGTTAGGAGTTGAAAGTTGAAATTTGGTACACAGTTAGGGTACATCACAAGAATGTACACTAAGAGTACACACACTTAGGGTATCACAAGAATGTACACTAAGAAATTTTCCAAATTTTCCCTCTGCAGATGACAGGGAGAGGGTTAAGGCTTAACCCGAAGAGCTTGACTTCTATTGTATTATTTAAGATGAGATTTTTTCTGTTTTTAACTGTGTTTCAGTAGGGTACACCACGAGAACACACACTAATAAGAAATTTTTGAAATCCCCTGCGGGGAGAGGAAGAGGGTTAAGGATTACCTTGAAGAACTCTGCTTCTACTGTACTATTTTAGATGCGGTTTTTTGTTTCTAACTGCATTAAAATGTAGGGTATGTCACAAGAATGCACACTAAGAAGGGATTTTTGGAAATTCCACCCCCTACCCCAGAGGGAAGAGGATGAGAGAGTTAAGGTGGCCACATACGTTAAGGAAAGCCTTTGAGGAATAACTGTGCAGGCCTGGCCTTGAGGAAATTCAGAATTTCCTATCGCCCACACACGAGGAGGAAAATCTCTCAGTTAGTCAGTCAGCCATGCATCTGATGACGACATACTGGCTGTTCTTGGATGTTTATTGAAAACAAATTGTATTAAAACTTGCAGGAAAAAACATGTGCATAAAAGTCTATGGTGTAAATCAGTGTTTCTCAATGGGGGTGATATCGCCCCCATGTGGGTGTTTTTCCATGTTCAGGGGGCGATTAGTAACAATTTATATTTTGGGGGCAAAAAACAATTTTTTGGGTGATAGAGTAAAACATNGTCAGTCAGCCATGCATCTGATGACGACATACTGGCTGTTCTTGGATGTTTATTGAAAACAAATTGTATTAAAACTTGCAGGAAAAAACATGTGCATAAAAGTCTATGGTGTAAATCAGTGTTTCTCAATGGGGGTGATATCGCCCCCATGTGGGTGTTTTTCCATGTTCAGGGGGCGATTAGTAACAATTTATATTTTGGGGGCAAAAAACAATTTTTTGGGTGATAGAGTAAAACATTATATTAAGAATAATTAGATATTTTATTCGTTATATCGTACAATAATTAAACAAATAACATTATACTAGTCACTAGTCTATTCAATGCAGTACGAATTTGGCATTAGCCTTGGCCCTTGGCATTGGAATTTTGAAGTGAAGGAGGCGACGATTCGTTAGAGAGTGAGAAACACTGGTGTAAATAGTAGTAGTAGTGGTATGGGTAGCACTGATCACAAAATTAATTTTTCAAGATAAATCTTGGGCCATAGATTCTATTAAAAAGCATCAATTATCAGCGAAAGATCAGTGGCAAGTCGATTTTACTACAAAAAAAATTCATGGATTAAATTTTATAGATGAAAAACCATCAGACATACATAAGTGAGTTTGTGAAGAAAGTTTAATTTGCAAATTTAAATTGAAACTTGGAAATCTAGACAAAGCAGATTTTTGGAAACAATGGGAGAATAGGAAAAAGAAGCATGGAACTCTTTCAAGAATGCAGTGCATAAGTTTTTGGGGAATACTAAGGACTTCGACTACAAAACCATTGTACAACGCATGCTGCAGCAGCTTATGAAGCTTAAGGATGCAAGATGAGTTTAAAAGTTCATTTCTTACACACAAACACTAAACCAATTTACGGTGTGGAACAATCGACTAATCATAAAAAACAAACGTTTTCGAACCCCTTCTGGGCTCTTCATCAGGTTTTAGCTCGTAAAATTCGATTGACGAATGTTGTTCAAATAACGTCGTTCCTGCAATCGAATAGTTCTTTTAAAATTATACGTTGCGCCTGCCGTTCAAATTTAACGAAAGCCATTAACGAATGATGTTCAAATAAGTTCGTTCATGAGTTCGAACAGTACTTAAAATTGTCCGTTACGCATGCGTGACGTGTCCTCCTTCTCGGATATAATGAGCAGTTAAGGCACGCCGTGTATCAACTCTTGCCAGGCCATCGACAAAAGCATCTCCTCTTTAAAATTTATGCACGTGGTTTCGATAGAGGATTTAAAGATGTGCATCACCTCTAACCATTTGAGATGATCATTGGGAGGCGCACTGAGGAGGAGATTGGTCCTAGTAAAGTCAGCAACTATGCCCAGGTCTGTTGCGTATGTTGCGAGGGCCATGCTGGTTCTCCCGTGACAAATGTCTGCCTGATGTTCCTGCATTCTAACACCTATGGATCTTTTAGTAGAGCCTATATATACTAAGTCCCTATCGAATCTATTATCTCTCAAAGGGACACTATAGACTCTCGGTGTTCTGCTGGGGTTAGGAGGGTCCTTCCCATTCGTTAAGATGTTAAAAACAGTAGATAAAACCTACGAGCTAAATATGAGCTAAAACCTGATGAAGAGCCCAGAAGGGGTTCGAAAACATTTGGTTTTTATGATTAGTAGATCGTTCCACACTGTAAATTGGTTTAGCGTTTGTGTTTGATATATAGGTGTAGTGAGTAGTGAGTTTTTGTATAGTTTAGCAATGCCAGCTAATATATACCGTAGTACGGTGTTAGGCTTAACTACAGCCAGAGCTCGTCTTCAGTTCTTGTTGGACTGTAAAAAGAACAATGTCATACGTATGTCTTTTTTCCGAATCCACCTCCCCCCGGGGAGCAAACCCCTCCTTGGTAAAGTGAGGATGATGTGCTTAAACAGGGCCATTCATTGCACCAGGAAACAACTTTATTCTAAGTTAACAAAAGTGGTGGAAATAGAAAATTCTTTGTTCCAATCGGGACCCGGGATCCTATTGTAAGAGAATGCTAAGATAGTCAACATGAAGGATAGGCTTAGAAGCAATCTCAGGAGGCTTTACAAGAAGAAGTTTCAATGGATTCTACAATTCCAAGTTCCCAAGAGTTGCAAGCAACCCTCCTTCCTGTTTATAGTGTGGGATAACTTAAACCTACCGAGTTTTGTGGTGGAGGTTCTCAAATTTGGACCAGCCTTTGCACTACCGCCAAAAAAAGGCGGACACAAGGAGCCTCATTCCGGATCTGGAAATTCTAGTACGAGAACTATCAGATAGACAAAAAGAATATTATCGATGGATGGCCACATTAAAAATAAAAAATGCCAAGGAGTCATCTGAGATAGCGAATCTAAAAGACAAGCTACGATGCACGGTGCAGTAGATGAAATTAAACAACATCACTCTTGTCAGGGCCAACAAAACTAAATCCATGGTTCTCATGAAGTGTGACACCTATGAAATACTTCATGAGAAATACTATGAGGCCTACACGAATACTTAACACTTACCCATTGCGATAGGACTGACGAGGGTTTTATCGATAGGCTGCATTCCAGAGTGAAACGGTTCACCGGTTCCGCTCTTGTTAAACGCTTGACACTTGGTAACTTAATGGTTGACTCCCCAGATGTCCCTAAATTGTTTGCCTTCGCAAAAACGCTTAAACTGGGCCAGCAACTCCACCCAGTCACGGACAAGGCAAGAGCGCCTACACAGAAGTTGGAGAAAGCTTTACGTACTCTTCTCGCTCCACAATTGGAGGGCTACCAGTACAATATCGCTAGTCCGGTGGAGCTCCTAACGCAATTGAAAGAGATCACATCCTACCGGTACATAACAGTTTTGGACTTTAAGTCCCTATACCCATCCATTGAGCTCCATCCCGCTTTCTGTGTGCTAAGGGGCATTTTGTTTCGTATTGTCGGGGATGACACATTACACAACCAAATACTTGAAATGGCACATTTGATATGTTATAATTCTGTGTTCCAATTCAATGGTGAAGTCTACACACAAGGCAGAGGGGTCCCCATGGGCAGCCCGATTTCAGGGACCTATGTGAGATGGTAGTCCGGCAGTTGGAGAAAAAAATCCTCCCACAATTCCTCCATAACATCAAACTATATAGGAGATATATTGATGACATTATTATTTTTTGGAAAAATGTGCCTGATATAACAGCCTTAGTAGACGCTTTTAATAATAACCCGTACGGGTTGACGCTTGAATTAGAACAATCTGACACTACCGAGGTCCATTTCCTAGATATTAGTATTAGGTTAGAGAAAGATGGCATCAGCACTGCGGTGTATCATAAACCAGGATCTAAGTCTTCGTACATCCCGGTAGGATCTAGCGATCCGGTACCATACAAGACTGCGGCATATAAAGCCTTAATCAGAAGAGCCTTCACACATTCTTCTAACATACAGGCTCTTGATAAAGAGCTAGCGTATATAATGCGAGTAGCCGCGGAACATGGTTATCGCATAGGCGTACGTAAGATGATAAAAAATTATAGCTGGATGTATGCAGTTAACGAACAGCTGGTGGACTGGCACAATGAGAGAACGGAAGATCCGGAAGACATAGAACGGATACCCATCACCTTTAACCCATATGTAAGATCTATATACGACAAGATCACCAAGAAGTGCCAAATACGTATTGCATACAGGAGGTGTCCTACTATTTTTAACATCTTATCGAATGGGAAGGACCCTCCTAACCCCAGCAGAAGACCGAGAGTCTATAGTGTCCCTTTGAGAGATAATAGATTCGATAGGGACTTAGTATATATAGGCTCTACTAAAAGATCCATAGGTGTTAGAATGCAGGAACATCAGGCAGACATTTGTCACGGGAGAACCAGCACGGCCCTCGCAACATACGCAACAGACCTGGGGACCTATTCTGAGCTCTTCCGATAACTCAACGAGAGCGATACACGGGTCATTTGATAAGTCCCTTTAGCGAAAGGCAGTTAATGAACCTTACACAAATTGCTATTCTGAGCTCTACATTAAGTGGGTTTCGCTAAGGGTAGTCGGTCGAGATGCGTCTGGGTTCCACGCTATCGATAGCTATTACGCTTTAACCAATCACAGTTTAGTTAACATAGTATTTTTGTCACGTGACTGCAACCCGCCATTTTCTAAGCGAAGCACGTGCTCATTGCATTGTCGCTGTAGCAGCGTTAGTTTTTACTTTTGTTTTAAAATGTCTAAAAAAGCACAACGAAGCCAGCGAACCACAAGTCGCCAGTTCGAGATGCTTGTCAATTTTATGGAAGAACACCCTAAATTAATGTCGGGGAAATTAGATTCTTCGTTTACTGCAAAAGATCGCCAGAAATTGTGGCAAGAAATAGCCGACCGTCTGAATTCCGATGGAGTCGGCTCACAAAAAGATCCGGAAAAATGGCGAAAAGTAAGGGACAGTGATATATTTATATATTCTGCATGTTTAGTGTTTTAAATAATTTACTGAGTCTATTTTGTCAGCCCATCCGTTAATAAGCAAATATTGTTTTTAAAAATTAAAATTTATGTGATAGTCATTTATGTATAGTGTATAGTTTACTGTAAGTTATGTATACGGAATGATTTTTTTTACTAAACTAATGAATTAAAGCCAACATTTAAACTTAGATAAAATCTACAAAATAAAGACTTCTATTATTACATTCTGCTAACATTTTATAATTATACAAAGTATGTCTAAGTTTCTTTGTATATTTCTATGTAATTAATATATTTTTTAGTTCAATCATTAAGAATAAAATGACAAACTTAATTTTTCCACAATTTCTGCTGCTATAAACCTTATAACCAAATTAGAAGTAGTATTATGATTAAATGTCAAATGCAATACATATTATTAAATATAAACATTATTTGCATAGACTTGGAGTGACTGGAAGGCAAACATTAAAAGTAAAGCCTCACAAATAAAAAAATCATCATTTCAAACAGGAGGAATCAAAAATTAACTGAAGTTGAAGAGAGAGTTTTAAATTTAATTGGTATAACTGCTGTTTACGGAGAATCCCAAATTGATGAGGCAGGAGTTCAGGTAATAAAAATCATATTGAAATTAAAACATGCTTATTAAACTACAGTAATTATAGGAATTGTATGTATTATAGGAACCAAATGGTGCACAAGAGTTGAGTGAAAGTGCACAAGACTTATTAAACTGTATGATTGACAATACTATTTCTTGTGTACAATCAAATGATTCTACTTGTATAAATGAAGAATATCCATCTAATCAAAATACATATTTCGAACTGCCTCCAAATGATGATTGCAATCCAACTGATTGTAACCCAACTGATGGTCTACATTTGAATACTTCATTAAGAAATGTTAACAGTAAGTGGATATATTATTTTGCAATATTAAATATTTAACAGATAAAAAATAATTTTAAAAAATTTATGACCAGGAAAAAAAAGGAAACATGAAAAATCTGTTGGGGAATGTATGGCAGAAAGCCTTAATAGAACAGAAGATGAAAAGTTGCATATTTTAAAAAATATACAACAAGCAATGAATGAAATAGCCAAAAATATTGAAAGGAAGGCAACAGCAGAAGAAAGGAAAGCAGAAGCAGAAGAAAGAAAGGCAGCAGCAGAAGAAAGGAAGGCAGCAGCAGCAGAAAACAAGGCTGCTGCTTTGCATGAAATTGCTGCTTCATTAAGGAACTCTATAACAGAAGCAGAAAATCAATAAATGATTTTACAATAAAAAAGGCTCTTTTCAGGGCCATTCATTTGTGATAAAGAGTAACCAAATCTATTTTCAACCAATATATTATTACCAAGTAAATTTCACATTTCAGGAAAGTCTTTTAACTATTTACATTATGCAAAATTTTATTTTATTTTACAAATTACTAAAATGTTTCTTCTAGCAACAAAGATGGTTACTGGTTTCCATGAAAAGTTCCATTTATATACTAGATAATTATTGCATATCATTCTGTGCAAAATAAACATTATGTTCATTTTAATTATTTATACGTATTTTGTAAAAGCATATAACAAAATGTTTTATTTCAGTATAGTACAAATGCTGCTATTGTTTAAAATTTACAGAATCAGTCAAATATAAGAATTATATAATTTTTTATTTATTGTAAATAATTATAATTATACAGCTATTATACAGTGTAATTCAGTATTATACAGTGTAAAGTTGTTTTTTTATTTACATATCTACATGAAATGACTCCTGAGGAGTCGTTTTTGAATTTCTCTGCCTTTGTTGCCAAGAGAAACATCATCTCCAAGTCTGGATACTGTGTGTTCCATTTCTCCCATCATTCCATCATATAGCTCTATATTCTCATCGAGAGAAATTTTATGAACTATGCACATATTATGTAAAACAGCACAGGCATTAATTATTAGTCCAGCCTTATAAGGTGAATAATTTAACACCCTGTGCTTGTGCAAACATCTGAATCGGGACTTTAGAAGTCCATTACATCTTTCTACAATAATTCTTGTTGATATTAAACTGCTATTATACTTTTGCTCATTTTGTTGCTGAGCATCTAATATAGGTGTCAGAAGCCATGGTTCCATTGGATAGCCACTATCACCTATAAAAAGAAATAAAACAATTTTGATAAATGAATTTTGCCATACTTTCATATATATATATTATGTTTATTTATTTATATATATTATATTGTATATACGTGTGTGTATATATTTATAATAAAGTGAAATGAAAAACATAGATGTTAATAAAAATAGTTAAAATATATTATAAAATAAAGACAATTGACATATGATACAAAAGATATTGTGTAACCACAGTCTTCTGCCTTGTTTTGATTAAACTTTTAATATTTTTACTGTTCTATTTACATATAATAAATCAAATATTCTAAACTTTCTAATAAATAACTAAAAATAAATCAACTATTACTCGATAAACATATATGAAGCATTATTTAGAAAAATCTAAGAAATATGTAATATTCAATATAAAAATCTGTTGGTTTAATTTTACTAACCTATTAACCAAGCATTATTATTTGTTTGAATTCTTCCCTCTATAAAAGCTCGTCTTAAGTTGCAGCTTTTCCATATAAATGAATCATGTGTTGATCCAGGAAATTTTGCGTTAACGCTAATTATTTTCATGTCGGGATCACACACCTGACAAATAATGAAAATATAATAATTCATTGTATTATTTTTGTGTCACGAAATGATATTTATAATTTAATAATAAATTTGATAATTTATGTACTAAAATCATTTAAAATATAATCAAAAAGTTAGTCATTTACTTACTATTTGGGTATTTATGGAATGATATCCCTTTCGATTGATATACGTAAATTCCTTATGATCGGGATCATTAAGTGATGGTGCAATTATAGGAATGTGAGTTCCATCAATAGCACCTATCACTCCCGGAAAGCCACCTAAACTCATAAATTTTTGTTTGACCAATGCCATCTCAGTTTCAGAAGTTGGAAATTTTATCCAGTGATGAAGAAGGATGATGTTTATTGCCTTGCTTACTGCTGTTATGCAACGGCTCACTGATGGCTGGCTAATTTCTAAAGTGCTGTCTTGTGCTACTGGCATCTGATAAGAACCAGAAGCAAAAAATCGAAGAGCACATAATACCTACAAGAAAACAAATTTAATAAAACTAATGAAGCTCACAGATATATATTATATTTCAAAAACTTATCTATAAAAATTTTTATAAACATATGTGTATTCAAATTCATATTGTTATATGAACATCAACATGTTAATGCGAATTTAAAATGCCATTATTTGGGAAACATATTCTCTTATACACAATTTTCATATATTCTCAATAATTTTATACATTCATTTTTCTATAAATAAAAGAAAATTAATTCCATATTACTCTGAATACATATTTTATTTTAAAATTTGCTAAATGATTATTACTCTTTAATTATAAATACATTATAAAATGTATCTTATGTGTAGTATATTTTATAATTGGTTACTATAATTTAAAATTTATACTTTTATATATAGTGAAAACAGTAAATGTTAATATTAATTAATTAATCTATCAAACTATAGTGTATAAAGTTAATTTCTTCAAAGCTGCAGCTTACATTGTATATATAAAAAATAATGTTTATTCAAAATTCTTGTTAAAAATTACACTTCAAAAGTGTAACCTGCATATACTAATCTTCACGAAACTTTTATATATTTATATTCAAAGCTATCATTTTAATTTATACATATGCGAATGAAACCTATTTCAGAAATAATGTTCATGCTATAGCTACTTACTTTAAATTTGAACAAAAAAGCAATTATTCATAAATAGTTAAGGTAATTATTTTTAAGCAATACAACAACTTAGTTTATTAACGTTAAAAAGCTACTTACTTTTATTTCTGCAGATAGAGCATTTTTCTTAAAACACTTTGGCTCTAGCGTATCTCGTAATGCATTACATACATATATAACTAATGGTTTCGGAAGACGATAAAGTTGTTTAAATCGTGTATCGTTCAGCCGAAAAGCATCAGCTCGAAGATTAAATTGAGATTCGCGATGTCGAATTCTAATTTCTTCTCTCTCCAATTGTTCACGAAGTAATATCATTCTCACACCGAACGACGCCATGTTGTTTAGACTTTCGTTACGTTCCTAACGTTGACAGTGACCGATAACAAAAGCTTAGTTATCACACGTGGCTATCGTGACCGAAAACGAAACATACGGCTCAGAATAGCATTTTCACGGTTGATTAAACACGAGTCACGTGGTTCTGATAGAAACTGGTTTTTATCGTATCCGTTAGCTTAACGCTACTACTCAGAATAGGTCCCCTGGGCATAGTTGCTGACTCTACTAGGGCCAATCTCCTCCTCAGTGCGCCTCCCAATGATCATCTCAAATGGTTAGAGGCGATGCACATCTTTAAATCCTCTATCGAAACCACGTGCATAAATTTTAAAGAGGAGATGCTTTTGTCGATGGCCTGGCAAGAGTTGATACACGGCGTGCTTTAACTGCTCATTATATCCGAGAAGGAGGACACGTCACGCATGCGTAACGGACAATTTTAAGTACTGTTCGAACTCATGAACGAACTTATTTGAACATCATTCGTTAATGGCTTTCGTTAAATTCGAACGGCAGGCGCAACGTATAATTTTAAAAGAACTATTCGATTGCAGGAACGAAGTTATTTGAACAACATTCGTCAATCGAATTTTACGAGCTAAAACCTGATGAAGAGCCCAGAAGGGGTTCAAAAACGTTTGTTTTTTATGATTAGTCGATTGTTCCACACCGTAAATTGTTTTAGTGTTTGTGTTTGATGTATAGGTGTGGTGAGTAGTGAGTTTTTGCATTTCTTACACTCCCGTATTGACTATTTTCCCAAAAACTTGGGAGCCTACAATGAAGAACGGGGTGAAAGATTTCACCAGGATGTCCGTGATATCGAGAGATGTTACCGAGGAAAATGGGTTGTCAATATGTTAGCTGACTACTGTTGGATGCTCGATCGAGAAACCAAAGAAGGAAATCGGAAACGAGTTTGAAGAAGAATCAAAAAGAAGATAAAAGGTTTCATTAGAAAAAAGAGTAGACCTAAAATTGTGTATAAATATCAGAAACAATTTGTTGATTAGTTGTAAGAAAATATAATATATTTAGTTCATTGTAATAAATAAGAGTTTTTATCAAAAATTTGTTTCTATTTTGCAAAAAAACCTTTACGTCATGGGATGTAACAAAAGTTATTTTTAGAATCTGCGATCTTTAAAACATATAATTCAGCAAAAATATTCCATGCAGCTAGAAAAAAATTTCTTTTTGCAGACCTGTGTAGTAAATAAAGGGATTTTTAAAGCCTTTTAGTTAATGCAAGACAGAATATTGGCATATATATCTCTGGAATTTAAATNGAAGAAGAAGAAAAGGTTTCATTAGAAAAAAGAGTAGACCTAAAATTGTGTATAAATATCAGAAACAATTTGTTGATTAGTTGTAAGAAAATATAATATATTTAGTTCATTGTAATAAATAAGAGTTTTTATCAAAAATTTGTTTCTATTTTGCAAAAAAACCTTTACGTCATGGGATGTAACAAAAGTTATTTTTAGAATCTGCGATCTTTAAAACATATAATTCAGCAAAAATATTCCATGCAGCTAGAAAAAAATTTCTTTTTGCAGACCTGTGTAGTAAATAAAGGGATTTTTAAAGCCTTTTAGTTAATGCAAGACAGAATATTGGCATATATATCTCTGGAATTTAAATAGTACTGTATTACAATCGCAGCCACCGTCCGACTCGACGGAATAAGTCACGACCCATATTTCACCGCCCGCAGAAAAAAATAAAGCGCAGCATTGGCGTGCTGTCATTAGAAGCATTGAAAGCGCTGCTTCCCTTGTATTTTCTAAAAAATAATTACATATTAATTTTAATTATATGAAAATAATCACACAATATTTTATTATAACCGCATTATGTATCTTATTACAAATTTCTATACTACACGTGAAAAAAAAAAAAAAAAACATAAAATCACTATTGTATATTCGAATATTAGTGGCGGAGTGGAATATCTGTATTGTCAGATTCTATAAAGTCAGATTTGCGCACGCGCTTTACAGAGCACCGACCTCACCTGGTTTAGCCGGTGGAAGCCTACGACCTTGGGTTGATGCTACACATATAACGCTTCCAATTCTATCCGGGAGCGGTTCCGGGCTGTTAGCCGCCCGCCCGCTAGATATTTGGCCGATTACATGAATAACGAGTAGATTTATAACTTAACCCAACCAATAAGAATTTACTGGTATGTTTTTACAATAGTTCTGTATAGTTGACGGGAGTTAAAAAAGTCCATTAAAGTATTTGATATATTTATTCCGCTCTCTCATTTTATATTACTCACGGATTTCAATGTTAAACCAGTGATATTATGATTTAGTATATCCCATCTTTAAGGGGATGTAGAAAAAAACGTGTACAATTGTTGTATCTATATATATAAAAATGAATGTATGTCTGTGTGTGTGTCCTTCATGCATTACCACACCGTTTATCCGATTGCCGTGAAACTTTGGGAAGTTGTTTAATATACTCCAGCGAAGGTTTGTGGCATAGTACGATTGCCATGAAGCTTTGGAAAGTTTTTTAATTTTTTAATACACTCCCGCGAAGTACATTTATCCTACGATAGATGGTGCGCGTTTACACGAGCATTCGCGCACAGTGTGTCATTTCAAATTGTAAAGACCATTTCCCCCCTTCAAAAAATTCTCTATATATGCATTTGTAAACTGTTATTTACGATATTTATAATAATTTTTGTTTAATCACTTTATTTTGACTTTTTTTGCTAATTATGTATTCACTCGAACTTCGTTAAAATCTTAACTGTACCCCAAACAACGACAGAAGTTGTAGGAAGAAATTCGCCTATTTTACCGATCTAGGTATCCCCCTTTTTCAAATTTTAATATCGACTCAAAATAATTTAAAAAGACAAATTACAATAAAACGGTTTATTATCCAACTATCAGGAATTTCACAACATGCCAAGGAAGAGAGGAAGGAGCAATTAAATAATAAAGATTATAAAGGATTAAAATATATATAAAAATGAGGAATATCGCACTTCTGACAATCGCTGCGAGTGTGTGGGCTAAATTTGGAGAATCCGTGCTTCTCGCATGGACAACTGTATGTGGCCGGCTCACGCGTCGGAAAACCTTCCGATTTATTCGTGTACGCACCAGACGAAAAAACAAAAAATATCGTGTATCCACGAGCACTCCAATAAATAAATAGAATTGAAACAACACTTTGAAATGTTTTCCCGATGAAAACGAATAATAATAATAAGTTTCAATAAAAATGATAAAATGAAAATTTAATTTTATCATAACGAGTTCGCTTGAATTTCATTTCTTCTGAGATCGCAGCAATGCGCGACAGGTAAGCTAGTAATGTTAAAAAATTAACCGTTACTTCGACAGCGTCATTTACAACTAAATTTAATGAATGAGAGAGATGCATGAGGTACAAAAAATGCCCTAGAATTTATATTCCTTAAATTTACGATTTATGTATTTGTTGTCATAAAAATTTGACTTTCCACTTTTTTCCCAAGACTACAAATATTCGAGTACAAAGTAACCGGTTTCGACTTATTTCTACTTAAGTAGTAGTTAAATAATTAAGAGATTAGAGAATTAGAGACATAAATAAAACCATGCTGAAAGAGCCAGAATTTTACTTAAAAGCTTAACCGAACCAATCTCTAGCTGAGTGCAGTGGGGACTGATTTCTTCGAAATATTAGATGTAATAAAGACAGACATTTTTCCAGTTTAACGAGAGTGACCGAAAAGTTGTAAATTTTGGAAATTTCCGTGGACAACACCTGGTCCTAAAACGAATTAAAAAACAAACAATGGACAACCTATTAAGTTTAACATATTTAGACTTTTACAGTCATGGTGAGAAACGTTTAAAATTTACAAGAACCCTGTCGCGTCTTTTGACATTTGACATAGACCGGTATTGGCACCCTCGGGATTTGGCAGCCCACGTGCATGTACACACTGCACACCTAGCGGGACCGTCTCTGATTCCACTCGTAGGGAGCTATTTGACTAAGTGGTTAAGATTTAAAGAGTAAAGAATATTTTATGTTACTTTTATGTACGTTTTATTACAAAGCTATATTTAATTATAAATTTCTTTAAAAGTATATTCGTACAATTGAAGAATGTTTTGTACCAGCTATGTACAGGTACATCCACCACATATTTTATTTCACCGAGTAAGTTTTTATTATTTTATTTTTAATTTTAGCCCCTATATCGTGGCTAGCGATTCGGAATGTAATTGCGATATTGAAAATTTATTTTTAAAAAGTTTTGGCTCGAGATCATATAATGAAAAAGAAAACATTATTAAAAGAGAACGGCCAATGCCTAAGTTAAATATAAACGCTTCAATAAAAAAATTTGTTCGACATTTTCACGATAAAATGGCTCCGTAAATGCATAAAAATGCAAAAATTGTTTTGTTGGCTCACCTACTATTTTCAAATGAAACGAATGTGTGAAATTAGAATGGCTTTGACGATTTAGCTGGCAAAAGACACGAAAAATCTTGTCTTTTGCCAGTTATTTTGAAGATATTTGCCTTTTGTATTTGAAGCAATTTGGAAATGGAAGCGGAATAGAATTTAACATTAGTAAATAATATAAAATAAATATTGAAAATTATAACGAAATAGTTACGGCTAATAAATATATTATATCTAAATAAATAGAGTTATATGTTTTTATCAAAGCGAGAATTGGTATTTAGAGGGCAAAGGGGACCTATTGAAACTAATAACAGAGGTAATTATATTGAACTTGTTTATTTATTAAGTACGTCAGATAAATAATCTATTAAAAATACATTTAAAGAAAGAATTAACTGATTGCCCCTGGAAGTCGGCTTCTTATAGAAACATGGCTTCCCTATCATCAAATGTCAAGGCACGCCCCCGAAGCACAGTAATATCGTCCGAAGTCGAGCCGACCGACGTTTTCGGACTCGCACGAACGGGAAACAAAGCCACCGAACTTTTTACTAATAAAAGGCATCGTCAGGCAAGCCCATCTTTCCATGTATGCGCCATTTTGCTCCACGCGCTCTCTCCGGCAGAAATGGGCTCTTTCAAACACTTTACGAAGAACGTCGGAGGAAGCGGCCGGTTCTTCATTCGTTCCCCAATCGACGAGAAGCAACATTCGGTGGGGTGTTTTTTAGCTCCGGAAACAATAGAATCACCAGGAAGAAGATCGGGGGTGTTTAGTGTGATGTCCCCATCACACTAAACACCCCCAATCTTGTTCCTCGTTTAGTTGTTTTCAGGGCTGTGGAGTCGGAGTTGTGGAGTTTTGGTGTTTTAACCAGAGTCGGAGTCGGATGGTAAAGAAAAGTCTGAGACGGTAGATTTTTACGCGATTACACAGCTCTGGTTGTTTTTAATTGAATTCGTCTCGAGAAAGACCATGCTACCGCCACAAGAGTATACCAAAATTTCTATCTGTTTAGGACACGTCTACTAGAGAGGTGTTTTAAGAGAGCAAAATTAGAAATAAACGCCCCATGTATAAAGGATGGACTTTTACCATTTTTAGGTCACTTATTCACACACGTAGGTACTTACGTAGACACACGCGCACTGTTTAAAACAAATTTCCAAATTTCTATCCGCAAAGTTTACTTTACGAGAGAAGAGAGACTTACTGTGAGAAGACGCATATGACGTCTCCTTCCGTCAGATCGTAATCCAAACCGCCGACGAACACCCAAGGACTTTTCTGGTAGATCTTGTGCCACGAACAACTGGCGTTAATGCCTAACTGAATTTCCCTTTCGTTTAACTTGGTTATGTTCTTTACATTTCTGTAATAAGATGATATTGCGTCGTTCAAACGACTTCTCAAGCAATTAAGCAACAAATAGCAACTTACGTCATAGGATTCATGGCTCTTCTTTCGTTTCCAAACACTCGTCAAAATAATCGACTGCGTGCCGCCATTTGTAATACTCTCGTAAACGATGCACCTCCTATTCCGGAAGTTGTCGAGAATAAGCGATGGCTTTGACTTATTATTACTGTATTTTTTTATATTTAAACCAAAAGTTATCATTAAAAACTATAAAAAATAATGGTAAGATTTACCCTCCGAATGAGGGGGTCGCCACCCCCCAACGGGTAGCCCTCCCCCGTACGAACAATAAATGTCTAATAAACCACCCCCCTACGCGCGACCCTTCGCGAGATATAGCCCTCCGAAAATTGTTGTACGGGTCACGTGACCGCATGTTAGCCACAATTTACCCTGCGAATGAGCGGATCGGCGACCCCCCCGAATTGAAGACCCCCTCCGTGCGAACGAAAAAGTCAAGGGAACCATACCCCTGCGCGCGACCCTTTACGAGATATAGCCCTGTAAAGAATCGCCTACGTCATTTCCGGCGATCGGGATCGACGAGTCGCGTCGTTCTTTCTACTAAGCTTTTCGACCGCTAAGCCTATCGACTTATTCTAACGTTACTGCAGTCTAATTCGGAGTTAGGTCCTTTTCGCATGACCCCGCGCTCCTTCTCGACCTCGGGAGGGTGTAGGGCCCGTCATTCGCCGACACACTGGGTATCGCTCGCCCGGTCGGCTACAGTACTAAGCACCGCTAAGCCTATCGACCTATTCTAATGTACTACAGTCTAATTATTGCCGAGTTAGGTCCTTTTCGCACGACCCCGCGCTCATCCTTGACCTCGGACCTAGGGCCCCTCATTCACCGACACGCTCGGTTTTGATCGCGGTCGGCTAGTACTACGCGCCGCTTTCGCGGCTTGTCCAAAACACCTGACCTACCTCTTCGGAAGTGACTGTCACTAGTTAGGCTAATAGAAAACCGTTTTGAAACCAGATTGTACACTCACCTTCAACAGCGTCTCCTCCTGCATCTCCCGCCACGTCCTTTCGCTATCTGGCGACGCCTAGCCTATTCCCGATGTTGCGTGGGTGAGGACGGGGTGAGGCCGCTGGTCCCCGCCTCGGCTAGGTCCTGGGGGTCGATGACGAAGATGTTGGCGCCCGATGTTGTCTGAAAAATCACATAATCCAGGTTTCACATCCGCAAATAGGTATCCTTTGGTCACGCGCAATATACACAAGCTGCACTACTCACTGGGCGGTCGTCATCCCCCTGCCGTTCCTCTTCGTCGCCCTCGTGCACGGGAACATCGAAATAGGGCTCGTCCGGCGGCAGATGTTGATCCACGGGCACATCGATCGTCCGGAGTTGGAGACCCTGACGACCGGGGCCCGGGTAGACGGCCACGATGTCCCCGATGAACTGCCGGAATTTTGCCGATGTTGTTGGCAACTGGGACAGGACCCGCGTCCTGTACACGTACGTACAGTTGTAGCTCTGCAGGCTCCTGTCCGTGCGGAGCGACTTGATGGACTTCTTCAGCCAGCGATTTCTGCACTCGATGTTCTGAGTGTGGGCCTCGGGATCATCGGCGTCGACGAATCTGCTCGGAAAATAAAAGAAAAATGTCACTTTTCAATAACGCTTGTTCATTTCTTTCACATAACACATTGCAGTTTTATCTTCCTTACCTCCCGGGGCCCCGCTGGCTGTGATTAACGGTCTTATGTTCAGAGAAGCCCATCGTCGTACAACCGCGATATTGGGCCGCGCTGTCGGAAACAATGATGGAACCGCGGGCGATGTATCTGAGCATGTGGCTCCAGAGAACCCGTCGGCTCTTGTTGTCCACCTGAAAGAATACGAGAAACTATAACAAAACTTCCACAAAAACTAAAAAATAAAAGGAAATAATAATGCTTGGCTACTACTTACATGCCAGTACATCACCTCTTTTGTTTCCCGACAATAGGCACCGAAGATGGTGATTTGGGTGCCTTTAGTTACGCGGCCGCGGTTGTATAAGTCGCACTTTTTTTACTACTTTTTAGGGCTCAAAATCATGGTGCGTCTTATACTCGACAGGTAACCATTTTTACAGTGAAATAAACTACAGTAGTGGTCCACTCTAGGGACCATCCTGTGCAGTGATCCGTTAAGCCAGGGGTGGCCAAAATGTGGCGCATTGGACGATTACAAGCGATTGGCGCTTCAGTTAGTTCTGAGCAAAATTGCCAGATTTGCCGTTTTTGCGATTAAGAATATTATATAGAAAAATACATTTTTTATGGTCTGTCTTGGCAAGTTCATTTGTTGCACAATTCGTTACAGTCTATTTTGCAGATAAAATGAGTGTTCTCCACGTAGTAAATTACAGTGAATGCACGTATTTTGAGTCTCGCGATCTTTATTTCCGATCAGTTTACAGGCGTATAAATGGCCGAAAACATTTATCGTGATTAAAGTTATTCCAAGCCGATCTCGTTCTCAGTGCCAATAATTGTGGTGCAGAGTAATCTTCACCAAACGAGACTCTGGCAGCAATAGCACCATCATGAAGCAATAGCCCTCTCATACAAGAGATTATTGTTGACTATTGTAAATTGGTGCTTCAATAAACTGTCATAAATTAATTAATTCAACTGTGTAATAAAGTTATTCCTTTTTCTCTCCTAAGCAAAGCAGATTTATTCTTATCTCTATTTATCAGTCCCTAACATTGAACGTAAGATTGTATAAAAAGTGTTCGAGTTATATGGCACATCTGAACTCGTCTGTCAAAAAATTGGCGCATGGTATGCAAAAGGTTGGCCACCCCCTCGTTAAGCACATGGTCCCTCAACCGAATGGCTAGAGTACCCAGATTATCAGAATAGCGACACACGAGTCATCGCCGCCATGTTCTGTCGACTGTCATTGCGTGACCTCTAAGTTTACATTAAGAAATGATGATTATTTCAGTTTAATAAAGGTGTCGATTCACCCATCCGTCACATTCTTGAATAAAAAAACGAACAAAATGCAATCTCCCATTAAAAAGTTTTTTCTAAATTTTCTGTCTCAAAATAGGGGTGCGTCTTATACTCGACAGCGACTTATACTCGTCAAAATACAGTACTTGTCTAATTCTAATTACAAGTATAAAACAGCTTAAAAGTAGATCGAACAATGCGAAACATGGCGACAAAAAAGAAATAATCCGGATCATCTATCAAAGAAAAGGAAACGCTTTGTATAAAATACCTTATCGGTTTCCCGGGAGGAAACATGTCCGCCCGACACCGGGATTTCCGATTTGAATTCTTATCGGCCAGGACGCTATGTCTTTTAGCAAATTTGGTTAACACAGAATTACAAAAACGCGAGGTGAGAGACAAGGTGCAGAAAACAGAGGATACGGAAGAGCGGGGATGTCCACGAAACGCGACACGAGATTACCTCTGACGGAAACTTTCTAAAAGAATCTGGTCCTTATTTAGGATATAAACGCGTGAATAAAATCCGAAAAACTCCACGTCGGTGGGGTGCAATCGTCTACGAGCGTATTACAAAGAGACCAAATTTTAATAAATTACAAAATTATTAAATTTCGGCCGATACTCGACAATCTTTTAAAATTACGCTTGTAAATCTAAAATCTCCGAAAAAAGAGGATTTTCGAGAGAAATCCCGTCTCGATGTCACATCCGTCTTTCCGACCGGGTATTGCATCACAGTTACAATATCATTCGGCGTTAAAGAGAAAAGTAAAATTTCCTGTCGGTGTTTATCGATTTAACGACATAACCGCTTACCACCTTGTTATAAGGAGTTAAACGAACGGCCATGTCGGCGGAGCGTGGACGGATCTCCCTCCGGGTGAGTGTTTAATGATTCGTCGTAACGTTTAGAAATTCCTCTTATAGGCAGTGACGTTTGCGTTGTATAAAATGAAAGACCTTTCGATAAGCAATTGTATATTTATTTCTAGTCGAAAGAACGTTGGGATGACTGTCCGTAGTGAAACAGGCGAAGTTAAGTAACTTAATGTTATAAAAAGAATTGAAGCGATGTAGGCCTATTTCATTCTTTATAAAGACACATTCCCCCGTCGGTATCGCGTAAATTTTCTTGTTTTTAAGACGTAAATTGGTAAGTTTTCGTCCATACGGAATAACAAGTAAATGAAAAATTAATATTAAAATATATTGTCCTATTTACGTAAATCTATTTGAAGGTTTGTTTGTCGTCCGTATATGCGTGACGCAAAGTTAAGACTTTGTCCGTAAGATGGAAAAAGAAATTATCGATTCTTATAAAAATATGGAAGAAAATGGGACGGGATTATCGACAATTTCTACATAAATATCGGAAGAAGCTCTTGCGAGACCATAATATGGCTGTAAGGACATCTGTCAGTATCTGCAGACTATTTAGAAAATACTGAAGTTGGTTCAAAACGAGCGAGAAGTGCCAACAGAATCCTATTAGTAAATAATAACAACTTCCTCAAATTTGGCACGTGTGGAAACGTAATCCTTCTCGTCACCAACGTCGCGCCAATTACGATTAAAATCATCAGATCTCTCCACGTTAAGCTCTTTCGCCTTAGCATTTGACGATAGACCTAATGCAGAGCCGGATCCAATAGGTGCGAGGCTCCTCAAACTTTAAATAACAATATTAATTAACAGTTAATTTACATATTGAAATATGTTGTTATATTTTTAATAATATACCTAGATATTCATTTTTGTAACGTGTACTATTTTTTAATATATAAATTTTAATGCGCTGCGGGGCCCCTTCAAGCGCGGGGCCCGATTGGCATAAATCCATTTCTGACCTAATGCGGAGTGTTGCAAACTACAAATGCTCATTTGAAGCGATTTACCTCGAGATAGAGGAGATTGTATTTTTACCCCGACCGCACGAAAAACACTTTCATTTCGATTCTATTTCTGCCGTTTAATTGAATTTCGTCTGCATTGCCAGCGACAGTTTTTAATGTATTTCCAAGCTTTACTTTTCCAGTTTACTGTATTACATAGCTCTTTGGACCTTGTTCGAAATTCTTCGACACAGTAGCATATTTCTTCCCGACATTACATTGATTTCAACAAATTAGAAGCTGTGGTGCGATGAAAGTCGGGATGCAAAAACGTCCAGCAATATCTTTTAAGTATAGGCTAATTTAAGTCGGTAGCCATTTGGTTAAAATTACGGTAAAAATACAAAATAATTCCCGTTCAGACTCGTTCTCTTCGGCATTTCACTCCTTTATAACGAATTAAATGCGAGTTTTCTTTGCAGAATGCCACGGAAATAAAAGTGAAAAACCTGTTGAACCTGCTCTCGTGTATCGCTTTGGCTCAGTGTTGCACCGACTTCTTGAGCAGATGGGAGAATATCCAGTGTCCCACGTTGTTTATACTGGACACCAGAACCGATTGTCTTTCAAGCAAAAACATTTCCGTCGCTGTTAACGTCGACTATCTTTACGTCGAATGCTACGGAGCGGATCCGGATCGTCGGATCTTCCGGTGTTTTCAACAAACAGAAGTAATTAATTTAGGAATGCGCAATTGTTTTTCTCGGAATTTTAATTTGAATGAATTTTTATCTGGACTCGTCATACGCAGTTTGCAAATTGCATTTACTACAATCGAACCGAATTATCAAACTTTGCACTTTGAAAAGCTGCCATTTGTTAGAAACGTATCCCTGTCCGGAATAAGAACTGGAGGATCATTCGACCTGACGTTCGATTTTCAACCCGTCATCTACTGGCTACAAATTTTCAAATATAATTTCACCTCCTTTCACCAGCCGCCATTTAAAAATCTGACAAATCTTCCAATTCTGGAAATAGCATATGGAAATCTACAGCGTGTTCAGGTGGAGCTACTCCAAGATTTGAAAAATCTCAAAATACTCAACTTGAACAATAACAGATTAAAAGAGATTCCACGTGGATTCTTTAAAAATCTCACATTATTAACGTATTTAGATTTATCCGATAATCACATCGAGAACTTCTGGGAAGATATCTTTTCGGATCTCTTTAGTCTAAAAGTGCTTCAGATCAAAAACAATAAACTGACGGTTCTTCCGGAAAATTTGCTGTCTTCCCTCACTCAGTTAATCGGTCTCGAAATGAGTGGAAATACAGGAATAAAAAACTTACCTAAAGGATTCTTAAGAGGCTTGACACGCTTAGAACATCTTCGGGCATCCAGATGCTCTTTGGAACGTCTGGAGGAATCTTTATTTTCAGACACCACCTTTTTGATAGAATGCTTGCTAGATTTTAATAACATTACACGTCTACCGGAAACACTGTTTAATAACACGGAACATTTGAGTCGTTTGTCGATGACTGGAAATAAATTATCGGCTTTGTCACCGCGTGTATTTTCCAACTTAATGAGAATCGGATCATTAGACTTATCGTACAACAGACTGAACAATTTACATAAAGATATCTTCAAGCACTTATCAACACTGGCAGTGTTGCGGATGTCTGATAACGATTTGTCCTTCTTGCACGAAGATACACTTCTACCTCTTTCTGGTTTGAGAGAGATCGACCTATCAAATAACAACTTCGAACGTTTACCCGCAAAATATCCTTTTGGTTCCAGCAATCATTTAATAAGTGTAAACATCAGCAACTCGAATCTGAAGACTTTTCCTAATATTGATTGGTCGAATAACAATCTAACTAAAGTCGATTTTTCCCACAATCAATTTCGGGAAGTCACTCTACCCGTGTTTTCCAAGAAACACACCAAGATATTGCTCAACGACAACAACATCTCCACCATCTACATTGACTATCGACGACATTCTAACAGTTATCCAGTGTATAACGTCACGGGAAACGTCATCGAGTGCGACTGTCGAATCAGACAATTCTTGCGATTTCTTCATTTTGACAAAAACGCCGTCCGCATTTTTCCAGATTCCAATATCCTGCGATGCAATGGATGTTCCGAAAGGAAACTAATAGAAATTTGGCCAATTTACAGTGTCTGTCCGTGGAAAGAGGGATGTCCTTTGTTTTGCGATTGTTACCTGACACTAGAAGGACAAAGTACAATCGATTGTTCTCGTAGAAGTTTATCTGATCCGCCCGCGAGTCTTCCCGTCAATTCAACATTTGTCAATCTGAACAACAACCACATTGTAAATTTGTCTGAACTGAATGGGACTACGTGGGAAAACGTCACCCATCTGTATCTTAGTAACAATTCTCTGACGTCACTAAACGATTGGGTCGTTCCGGATAATCTCCTCTATTTGGCTCTGGATGGAAACAAGCTGTCGGATTTGCCCCCTTCTTTGATGAAGCGCGTGGAAGCTTCGTCGAACTTCAGCATCTTTCTTTCCAGAAACAAATGGAAATGCGATTGTCATTCCGTCCGTTTCAAGAAGTGGTTCACGCGGAATTTGCTTAAGATCCGTGATTCCGAGAACGTAACCTGCCAGAGAGTCAATAGAGTTAGTAATTCTGTAACACACGAGCTAATTGAAAGTATACCGCTGGATGTGTTCTGTCTAAAGGAACCCGTGTGGCCTTTATGGCAAATAATCGTTCTTACGGTTTCGGTAGCGTTTGTATTGACATCAGTTCTCGTAGTTGTCTGTTACCATTACAGACTCGCTATATTGGCCTTTCTGTACAGTCGAGACGTGTACTTGTCCTGTTGTTACAGGATCCTCGACGACGAGGAAAAGAAGTACGACGCTTTTGTGTGTTATCATAGTTCCGATTCTGTCTTAGCCATGGAGATGGTGGATCGGCTGGAACCCACTTATCGTCTTTGTGTTCACGAACGTGATTGGTTGGCGGGTTGCCCTATTAGCGAGAACATCGTGCATTCTGTGCTTAACAGTAGAAGGACGGTGATATTGTTGTCCCGACAGTTCCTGGACAGCATGTGGTTCAGTGTGGAGTTTCGTGTGGCTTACAACAGGATGATGGAAGACCAAGCTTATCGTTTGGTTTTGGTTTTGGTGGAAGAGTTGGAGAATTCGAAGGAGCTGGAGGACGATCTTCGTCGTTTGCTTTCGACGAGAACTTACTTGAAGTGGGGAGAGAAATGGTTCTGGGAAAAGTTGAAATATATTCTTCGCAAACAATAGTTGATAAAAGCACTTGGCTGGCT